CATGTTAAATGTGCAACCAGAGGAAAAAAAACTCTAGACCACCTTTACTCCACACACAGAGACGCATACAAAGCTCTCCCTCACCCTCCATTTGGCAAATCTGACCATAATTCTATCCTCCTGATTCCTGCTTACAAGCAAAAACTAAAGCAGGAAGTACCAGTGACATGGTCAATAAAGAAGTGGTCAGATGACGCAGATGCTAAGCTACAGGACTGTTTTGCTAGCACAGACTGGAATATGTTCCGGGATTTTTCCGATGGCATTGAGGAGCAAACCACATCAGTCACTGGCTTCATCAATAAGTGCATTGATGACGTCGTCCCCACAGTGACCGTACGTACATACCCCAACCAGAAGCCATGGATTACAGGCAACAACCACACTGAACTAAAGGGTAGAGCTGCAGCTTCCAAGGAGCTTATAAGAAATCCCGCTATGCCCTCCGACGACCCATCAAACAGGCAAAGCGTCAATACAGGACCAAGATTGAATTGTACTACATCCGATGCTCATCGGATGTGGCAGGGCTTGCAAACTATTACAGACTACGAAGGGAAGCACAGCCGCGAGCTGCCCAGTGACACGAGCCTACCAGACGAGCTAAATTACTTCTATGCTCGCTTCGAGGAAAGCAACACTGAAGCATGCATGAGAGCATCAGCTGTTCCGGACGACTGTGTGATCACATTCTCCGTAGCCGATGTGAGTAAGACCTTTAAACAGGTCAACATTCACAAGGCCGCAGGGCCAGACGGATTACCAGGACATGTACTCCGAGCATGCGCTGACCAACTGGCAAGTGTCTTCACTGACATTTTCAACCTGTTCCTGACTGAGTCTATAATACCAACATGTTTCAAGCAGACCACCATAGTCCTGTGCCCAAGAACACTAAGGTAACCTGCCTAAATGACTGTAGCCATGAAGTGCTTTGAAAGGCTGGTCATGGCTCACATCAATACCATTATCCCAGAAACCCTAGACCCACTCCAATTTGCATACCTCCCCAACAGATCCACAGATGATGCAATCTCTATTGCACTCCACACGGCCCTTTCCCACCTGGACAAAAGGAACACTTACGTGAGAATGCTATTCATTGACTACAGCTCAGCGTTCAACACCATAGTGCCCTCAAAGCTCATCACTAAGCTAAGGACCCTGGGACTAAACAGCTCCCTCTGCAACTGGATCCTGGACTTCCTGATGGGCCGCCCCCAGGTGGTAAGGGTAGGTAACAACACATCTGCCACGCTGATCTTCAACACGGGGGCCTCTGAGGGGTGCATGCTCAGTCCCCTCCTGAACTCCCTGTTCACCTATGACTGCATGGCCAGGCACGACGCCAACACCATCATTAAGTTTGCCGACGACACAACAGTGGTAGGTCTGATCAAATAGGGAGGAGGTCAGAGACCTGGCCGTGTGGTGCCAGGATAACAACCTCTCCCTCAACGTGATCAAGACAAAGGATATGATTGTGGACTACAGGAAAAGGAGGACCGAGCACGCCCCCATTCTCATTGACGGGGCTGTACTGGAGCAGGTTGAGAGCTTCAAGTTCCTTGGTGTCCTCATCACCAACAAACTAACATGGTCCAAACACACCAAGACAGTCCTGAAGAGGGCACGACAAAGCCTAATCCCCCTCAGGAGTCTGAAAAGATTTGGCATGGGACCTCAGATCCTCAAAAAGTTATACAGCTGCACTGTCTAGAGCATCCTGACTGTTTGCATCACTGCCTGGTATGGCAACTGCTCGGCCTCTGACCGCAAGGCACTACAGAGGGTAGTGCGTAAGGCCCAGTACATCACTGGGGCCAAGCTTCCTGCCATCAAGGACCTCTATACCAGGCGGTGTCAGAGGAAGGCCCTAAAAATTGTCAAAGACTCCAGCCACCCTAGTCAAAGAATGTTCCCTCTGCTACAGCACGGCAAGCCGTACCGAAGCACCAAGTCTAGGTCCAAAAGGCTTGCTAACAGCTAATCAAATGGCTACCCAGACTATTTGCATTGTCCCACCCCACCCACCCCCTCTTTTACGCTGCTGCTACTCTCTGTTTATTATCTATGCATAGTCACTTTAACTCTACCTACAGTGGGGGAAAAAAGTATTTAGTCAGCCACCAATTGTGCAAGTTCTCCCACTTAAAAAGATGAGAGAGGCCTGCAATTTTCATCATAGGTACACATCAACTATGACAGACAAAATGAGATTTTTTTTCTCCAGAAAATCACATTGTAGGATTTTTAATGAATTTATTTGCAAAATATGGTGGAAAATAAGTATTCGGTCAATAACAAAAGTTTCTCAATACTTTGTTATATACCCTTTGTTGGCAATGACACAGGTCAAACGTTTTCTGTAAATCTTCACAAGGTTTTTACACACTGTTGCTGGTATTTTGGCCCATTCCTCCATGCAGATCTGCTCTAGAGCAGTGATGTTTTGGGGCTGTCGCTGCGCAACTCCCTCCAAAGATTTTCTATGGGGTTGAGATCTGGAGACTGGCTAGGCCACTCCAGGACCTTGAAATGCTTCTTACGAAGCCACTCCTTCGTTGCCCGGGCGGTGTGTTTGGGATCATTGTCATGCTGAAAGACCCAGCCATGTTTCATCTTCAATGCCCTTGCTGATGGAAGGAGGTTTTCACTCAAAATCTCACGATACATGGCCCCATTCATTCTTTCCTTTACACGGATCAGTCGTCCTGGTCCCTTTGCAGAAAAACAGCCCCAAAGCATGATGTTTCCACCCCCATGCTTCACAGTAGGTATGGTGTTCTTTGGATGCAACTCGGCATTCTTTGTCCTCCAAACACGACGAGTTGAGTTTTTACCAAAAAGTTATATTTTGGTTTCATCTGACCATATGACATTCTCCCAATCCTCTTCTGGATCATCCAAATCCACTCTAGCAAACTTCAGACGGGCCTGGACATGTACTGGCTTAAGCAGGGGGACACGTCTGGCACTGCAGGATTTGAGTCCCTGGCGGCGTAGTGTGTTACTGATGGTAGGCTTTGTTACTTTGGTCCCAGCTCTCTGCAGGTCATTCACTAGGTCCCCCCGTGTGGTTCTGGGATTTTTGCTCACCGTTCTTGTGATCATTTTGACCTCACGGGGTGAGATCTTGCGTGGAGCCCCAGATCGAGGGAGATTATCAGTGGTCTTGTATGTCTTCCATTTCCTAATAATTGCTCCCACAGTTGATTTCTTCAAACCAAGCTGCTTACCTATTGCAGATTCAGTCTTCCCAGCCTGGTGCAGGTCTACAATTTTGTTTCTGGTGTCCTTTGACAGCTCTTTGGTCTTGGCCATAGTGGAGTTTGGAGTGTGACTGTTTGAGGTTGTGGACAGGTGTCTTTTATACTGATAACAAGTTCAAACAGGTGCCATTAATACAGGTAACGAGTGGAGGACAGAGGAGCCTCTTAAAGAAGAAGTTACAGGTCTGTGAAAGCCAGAAATCTTGCTTGTTTGTAGGTGACCAAATACTTATTTTCCACCATAATTTGCAAATAAATTCATAAAAAATCCTACAATGTGATTTTCTGGAGAAAAAAATTCTCAATTTGTCTGTCATAGTTGACGTGTACCTATGATGAAAATTACAGGCCTCTCTCATCTTTTTAAGTGGGAGAACTTGCACAATTGGTGGCTGACTAAATACTTTTTTTCCCCACTGTACATGTACATATTACCTCAGTTACCTCGACTAACCTGTGCCCCCGCACTTTGGCTCTGTACCGGTACCCCCTGTATATAGCCTCGCTACTGTTATTTTATTGCTGCTCTTTAATTATTTGTTATTTCTGTTTCTTTTTTTCTTTTTTACTTATCTTATTTTTAATTTAACACTGATTTGTCTTAAAACTGCATTGTTGGTTAAGGGCTTGTAAGTAAGCTTTTCACTGTATGGTCTACACTTGTTGTATTCGGTGCATGTGACAAATACAATTTCACTTGATTTGATTTGATTTCAATTGAATTAGCATTAGACATTACAATAAGCGGTATTTCAAATCCAAGCTAAGAATCTCCAAAATACTATTGGGGAAAATATTTAACGACTGGGTTGTGGTCAGTTGTGAGGTCGGCAGAAAATCCTGATTGATTATTGTTTCATCCTGCCACTCCAGACGACGACATAATGACATGATGAAATGAGGAACCAGTTTGTTCTCTGCTCAATTTTGAGTCTCATAGCAAAGGGTCTGAATACTTACGTAAATAAGGTATTCCTGTTTTTTATTCTTTAGAAAATTGCAAAAATGTCTAAACACCATTATGGGGTATTGTGTGTAGATTGATGAGGAAACTTTTTCATTTAATCCATTTTAGAATAAGGCTGTAACGTAACAAAATGTGGAAAAAGTCAAAGGGTCTGAATACTATCCGAATGCACTGTATGTAGGGCATCATTCTATTCTGGTAGAGCCACAAACAATAAGATTTCCAGCTACTTAAAGGGATAGGTCAGCGATTTTACATATTTAGATATTTTGTGGTCCTCTGTAGCTCAGCTGGTAGAGCACGGCGCTTGTAACGCCAAGGTAGTGGGTTCGATCCCCGGGACCACCCATACACAAAAAAAAATGTATGCACGCATGACTGTAAGTCGCTTTGTCTCTTTAAGCCTGATGTATTTAAACTTTTTCAGCATCCTTAGAATTGCTACATTTAGATTTATTTTCACATAAAAAAATTACTTCCAATTCATAAAATGTTAATCTCTTATAAAAATTACTCAATAAATTGTATTTTTCAAAGTAAACTTTTATTTTTACTTTTTCACGCTTGAATAGTGCTTTAAGCACTATAACCTGGGAACTGAAAACACCTTTTATAACACCAATCCACTCTCTCTCCCCCAGGTGGCCATTCACAGGCAAATGGTACGTTGTTATTATTACATACAACTGTAAGGCTTCATATCAGCTATTGTATCTTGATCTGTTCAATCATGAGCTGTCTCTCCTCTGTCTTCTCCAGTGTGTGGCATTGCTTCTCTCAACACAAAGATTGTTGGGGGTCAGGCTGCAGTCCCAGGGAGATGGCCATGGCAGGCCAGTCTGCACAGATCCAACAGTCATTTTTGTGGAGGCTCCCTTATCAACAAAGAGTGGGTGCTGACTGCCGCTCACTGCTTCCCCAGGTAGAAACACATAACCTTACCCATCCCCCAACCCATATATTATGTCAACGTCATATTGTAACATCTATATATGCTGTATGCATATTGGCATAGTTTCTACAACTGTCTGGAACTCTTTTGGAGGGATGTGACACAATTATTCCACGAGAAATTCCATCATTTGGTATTTTGTTGATAATGGTGGTGGAAAGCGCTGTCTCAGGCACCGCTCCAGAATCTCCCATAAGTGTTCAATTGGGTTGAGATCTGGTAACTGAGACACACACACAAACACAACTTTTAACCCCCTATGCTCCTCTGAGACACCACTTTCAAAGTCACTTCTAACCACTTCTAGCCATGGTAGCCAAAATAATGTGCAACTGGACGTTTTTATACATGACCTTGAAGCTTACCGTATGCTTCCTAGTCAAACAGTTTGCACATATATTATGACAACATTTTGTGATGTTTTTGTTAATTTTGATGTTCGGCAGCGTACACAGCGTACAGGTTTTTTTGGCTGTTCAAGTACACCATTTTTTTTCTTGAGGCAAGCGAAGTCTACGCTCCTTTGTCGGTGATTGGTCAACAGTAGGGATTCTTCAATTAAGTGTGTGTTGTCATCCAACGACAGACAACTAGTTTTCATGCAAAATTTTTCCCTTGAGAAATACTGCACCAAACATCTTAGTTAGATGTAAAATTGCGCGACTAAGACCTCTGCAAAAACCTCATAATTAATTACAGATTTCTTGATTTATCTTAGATTGATTCTGACTATTTTGAGGAAGTGTTATTGTATGTTGTTGCTACAGCGTCTCAAGAGGGACAAACAGTAACAACATTTTAAAAACACAGACCATCACAAAATGTAGGTTTTAAACCATTTAACCTGTGTTTATATTGAACGTCATCAGTGTTTTTTTTGCTTCAATAAAGTGATAAGGGGAATGCAACTATAGTTTTTCTTCACACAAAATACATTAGTGCAACACATTGGGCAGAAAATCGTTTTCATCAGATGACAACAGAAGCGCAGCGCTATTTGGCTAACAGCCACACAAGTAAATTACAATGAAAAAGCAAGGTATTTTTTTCCAAATACGATGTATGGCCATAATATTTATGATGTTTATCATAGAAAGAATGTAGCCAGCTACATTTCCTAATGTTTTGCTTGAAGTTAGTCTTGCATTTTATAATAATAATAATATGCCATTTAGCAGACGCTTTTATCCAAAGCGACTTACAGTCATGCGTGCCTACATTTTTGTGTATTTTATGTTGCTACTGTAGAAAAACTACACCGGAGGAAAGTACCAGAGAAAAGTAGCCTACACATCAGTCAGAGCGCTGTCTGGTGATCCAATGACAAGAGCAAAGATATTTAATCTGAGTGGAGAAGTGCAGCTGCAGCGCAAAAGTAGTCATTTTACATTTATAATTTGGAGCGAACCCTGACTGAAGCTCCAAGCATTTTAGATCTACGTTTACAAAATGCAACAATATATATTTTATGTGTTTTATCTTTCATTTTCTGCGTGAAAAATACAAAATCCTGCATTAACGCGACCCCTGGTGATGGGGTGTTAATTGCTTAATTAACTCAAAAACCACACCAGTGTGGAAGCACCTGCTTTCAATATACTTTTCAGCCCTCATTTACACACGTGTTTCCTTTATTTTGGCAGTTACCTGTATGTGCTTGCTAGTTTGTACTGTACTAGTTTTAAAGTACAGTACTAATGGTTGTCAAATAAGTTGTAGCAGTGGTAATGACTCCAGAGAGGTGACATTATCTCTCTAAAATACATCACAGAATTGTGTAAATGGCATCAGCAAGCACACTAATAGTCTAATTATCACATTAATAATAGTTAGTCTCAACTCTCTTCATTCACAGCACCAGCACATCCGGCCTGCTTGTCTACCTGGGTCGGCAGTATCAGCAAAGCAACAACTACAATGAAGTTACCCGAACGGTCTCTCAGATCATCCGCCACCCCTAACTACAACAGTGCAACCAGCAACAATGACATATGTCTGCTGAAGCTCTCGTCATCTGTCACCTTCACTGACTACATCCAGCCGGTCTGCCTGGCAGCAGTGGGCAGCACCTACTACACTGGCACTACTAGCTGGGTCACCGGATGGGGCGATATCAATAGTGATGGTGAGATCTGATGGTCCCGACGCTGACTTTGCATTGACAAGCCATACATACCGTTTATATGCCTGTACATACAGTGGGGGAAAAAAGTATTTAGTCAGCCACCAATTGTGCAAGTTCTCCCACTTAAAAGATGAGAGAGGCCTTTAATTTTCATCATATGTACACGTCAACTATGACAGACAAAATGAGAAAAAAAATCCAGAAAATCACATTGTAGGATTTTTAATGAATGTATTTGCAAATTATGGTGGAAAATAAGTATTTGGTCAATAACAAAAGTTTCTCAATACTTTGTTATATACCCTTTGTTGGCAATGATACAGGTCAAACGTTTTCTGTATATCTTCACAAGGTTTTCACACACTGTTGCTGGTATTTTGACCCATTCCTCCATGCAGATCTCCTCTAGAGCAGTGATGTTTTCGGGCTGTCACTGGGCAACACAGACTTTCAACTCCCTCCAAAGATTTTCTATGGGGTTGAGATCTGGAGACTGGCTAGGCCACTCCAGAACCTTGAAATGCTTCTTACGAAGCCACTCCTTCGTTGCCCAGACGGTGTGTTTGGGATCATTGTCATGCTGAAAGACCCAGCCACGTTTCATCTTCAATGCCCTTGCTGATGGAAGGAGGTTTTCACTCAAAATCTCACGATACATGGCCCCATTCATTCTTTCCTTTACACGGATCAGGCGTCCTGGTCCCTTTGCAGAAAAACAGCCCCAAAGCATGATGTTTCCACCCCCATGCTTCACAGTAGGTATGATGTTCTTTGGATGCAACTCAGCATTCTTTGTCCTCCAAACACGACAAGTTGAGTTTTTACCAAAAAGTTATATTTTGGTTTCATCTGACCATATGACATTCTCCCAATCCTCTTCTGGATCATCCAAATGCTCTCTAGCAAACTTCAGACGGGCCTGGACATGTACTGGCTTAAGCAGGGGGACACGTCTTGCACTGCAGGATTTGAGTCCCTGGCGGCGTAGTGTGTTACTGATGGTAGGCTTTGTTACTTTGGTCCCAGCTCTCTGCAGGTCATTCACTAGGTCCCCCCGTGTGGTTCTGGGATTTTTGCTCACCGTTCTTGTGATCATTTTGACCCCACGGGGTGAGATCTTGCGTGGAGCCCCAGATCGAGGGAGATTATCAGTGGTCTTGTATGTCTTCCATTTCCTAATAATTGCTCCCACAGTTGATTTCTTCAAACCAAGCTGCTTACCTATTGCAGATTCAGTCTTCCCAGCCTGGTGGAGGTCTACAATTTTGTTTCTGGTGTCCTTTGACAGCTCTTTGGTCTTGGCCATAGTGGAGTTTGGAGTGTGACTGTTTGAGGTTGTGGACAGGTGTCTTTCATACTGATAACAAGTTCAAACAGGTGCCATTAATACAGGTAACGAGTGGAGGACAGAGGAGCCTCTTAAAGAAGAAGTTACAGGTCTGTGAGAGCCAGAAATCTTGCTTGTTTGTAGGTGACCAAATACTTATTTTCCACCATAATTTGCAAATAAATTCATAAAAAATCCTACAATGTGATTTTCTGGAGAAAAACATTCTCAATTTGTCTGTAATAGTTGACGTGTACCTATGATGAAAATTACAGGCCTCTCTCATCTTTTTAAGTGGGAAAACTTGCACAATTGGTGGCTGACTAAATACTTTTTTCCCCCACTGTATATCCACCTTTTTTATTTTTTATGTTGTACCAATACAGTTGGAACAGACAAGAAAGGATCAGAAATGTATACAACAGTATTTCAGTAAAAGTTGATTTCATAGTCTCTCCTCCTCAGTGCCCCTGCCCTCACCCGGGACCCTACGGGAGGTGAATGTGCCAGTAGTGGGGAACAGGAAGTGTAACTGTCTCTATGCTGGAGTGGGTTCAATCACAAACAACATGATCTGCGCTGGTCTACTGGCTGGAGGAAAGGATTCCTGTCAGGTGATGCATGGCTGTGTTTCATTCCAAGTAGTTGAAGAGCTAAAGCTGCAGTTTAGCTGCAGTTTGCAGAGCTATTATTTAATGACAAATAAGAGATGATCATAAACCAAACTCATGAGAACTTCTGCTGGTAATTTCATTGTTCACTGACCCTGATGATTAACCTGGTCAAATCTTGCATTTCACCTGGGTTGTGGGTTCGATTCCTACAGGGGACCAGTACGAAAAAAAGTATGCACTCACTACTGTAAGTCGTTGTGGATAAGAGTGTCTGCTAAATCACTAAATGTCAAATGAAACTAACTTGTAACATTTATCCCTCTACAGGGAGACTCCGGGGGGCCAATGGTGAGCAAACAGGGTCTGGTCTGGATCCAGTCTGGCGTTGTGAGTTTCGGACGAGGCTGTGCCGCAGCAAATTTCCCAGGAGTGTACACCAGAGTGTCCCAGTACCAGACCTGGCTCAACAGCCAGATCAGCACTGACCAACCAGGCTTCGTCGCCTTCTCCTCCAGTGGGACTGACTCTGACCTCAATGTCACCTGTAATGCACTGTCCAGTGGGAACACACTCCTCTCCCTCTCTCCTATTCTCCTCTCTCTCTCTCTCTTCTATTAGAGGATACACTAAAAGTGTGTCCTCTACTCACTGTATGTGAAAAGTACTGGAATAGTATGTTTATACACTGAACAATAAGTGATGGGTTTAATAAAATATGAATCTACTGAATCTACTAATATTTTTTTCTGGTGATGTAAGTAATTAAGTTGGACAACAAATGTAATTGTGCTATAGGATTACATTTGGTTGTTTATCAGAGCTCAGTTTATGATTGTTATATGCAGTTATATTTAGCTATCACACTTCATGATTAAATGGAGAAAAACAAATGTTTTATTCATTAAGTTATGTATATTTGTCCATCTTGAGTATACTGTATCTGCAAATAAATACACTATTTACAGTGAACTACAGCTATTTACCATTGAGCTGAGAATGTCTCTTAACAATCTCCTATCATGTAATGGCAGGCAGGCAGGTAACTATTAGCAGTCTGCCCCCTTCCTCTAGTGCTGAACGTAAACAGACTGACATAAATACCAGGGGTGCATTTATTATTTAGACCAAGACCATAGCAAATAGTTGTGATACCGTTTACTCTAATGGGAAAATGTTTTGCAAAGAAAACTGGAGTTTCTATTGGACAAATTCAGGTAGGTCCCGCCTCAATCCGTTCTGTTTGCTTCTGTTGACTTCCATTTGGTTTGTTTGGTTCCTAGTGAATACACCCCAGTTGGTAACCCTCCTACCTGGATTGAGCCATACCAACTCACTTCTCCAGGGAGGTTACATCATCTCTCTAGCGACACTGAACAAAAATATAAATGCAACATGTAAAGTGTTGGTCACATGTTTCATGAGCTCAAATAAAAAATCCCAGAAATGTTCCATACCCACAAAAAGCTTATTTCTCTCAAATGTTTTGCACAAATTTGTTTAAATCCTTATTAGTGAGCATTTCTCCTTTGCAAAGATAATTCATCCCCCTGACAGGTGTGGCATATCAAGAAGATGAATAAACAGCATGGTCATTACACAGGTGCACGTTGTCCTGGGGACAATAAAAGGCAGCTTTAAAATGTGCAGTTTTGTCACACAACACAATGCCACAGATGTCTCAAGTTTTGCGGGAGCGTGCAATTGACATGCTGACTGCAGGAACGTCCACCAGAGCTGTTGCCAGAGAATTGAATGTTCATTTCTCTACCATAAGCTGCCTCCAATGTAGTTTTAGAGAATTTGGCAGTACGGTCGTGTGGGCGAGCGGTTGGCTGATGTCAACGTTGTGAACAGAGTGCACCATGGTGGCGGTGGGGTTATGGTATGGGCAGGCATAAGCTACGGACAACGAACACAATTATATTTTATCAATGGCAATTTGAATGCACAGAAATACTGTGACGAGATCCTGAGGCCCGTTTTTATTTAAGGTATCTGTGACCAACAGATGCGTATTTGTATTCCCAGTCATGTGAAATTGATAGATTATGGCCTAATGAATTTATTTCAATTGACTGATTTCCTTATATGAACTGTAATAAATCTTTGAAATTGTTGCATGTTGCGTTTATATTTTTGTTCAGTATAATTTGGCTAACTCTTCCCACTTGCGAACACACACAAGACCCCGAAACCAACTCATGTTTGAAGTCAGTCATGGCCGCTAGCATTTCTTAGTGAACCAAATCTAAAATTAGGCCAAAGTGCAGTGGCCCTTTAAATCCACTTTTTGCACCGAGTGAGGAGTTCAATTGCCATTTTTGCTGCTGGGCAGCTCGCATTTCCAAACGTCTTTGCTGGAACTACATGTAGAAGAAGAAAAAAGACCCAAACAACACAAACAAAGATTTACACACATTTGAGAGGCCATTTGTCACTAATTTCTAGTCCCAAAATGTAAGTAGGAAAGTAACTACTATATTTTCCAAAACAGAGATTTGTGAGATTTAAGGAATCCATTACTTCTCTGATGTCCTTATATATTTGATGGTTGGGTTTGGATTTCAACAGAGTGTAAGAGATGAAGCGAGAGGGATAACTGGGCCCAAAATCTGTCTTCTCTAGCAGGAGGCGTTTTTCGCTCACAAGGTTTTTGTATGGAGGTCAATGAGTGTATAATTTGGTTAACAACAAAATGAATGGCTTATTTGCTATGTGCGGCTTATTTGATCAAATATAAGTTCTGTAATGATTAGGTTGTTATGAGTGTACTGATATACAGTGCATTCGGAAACTATTCAGACCCCTTGACTTTTTCCACATTTTGTTACCTTACAACCTCACTCTAAACTGTATTAAATAAAAATGTTTCCTCAACAATCTACAGACAATACCCCATAATGACGAGGTGAAAACAGTTTCTGAATTTTTTGGAAATTTATTAAAAATAAGAAACAGAAATACCTTATTTACATGAGTATTCAGACAATTTGCGATGAGACTCGAAATTGAGCTCAGGTGTATCCTGTTTCCATTAATCATCCTTTAGCTGTTTCTACAACGAGATTGGAGTCCACCTGTGGTAAATTCAATTGATTGGACATGATTTGGAAAGGCCCACACCTGTCTATATAAGTTCCCACAGTTGACAGTGCATGTCAGAGCAAAAACCAAGCCATGAGGTCAAAGAAATTGACGGTAGAGCTCAAAGACAGGATTGTGTTGAGGCACAGATCTGGGGAAGGGGTACCAACATTTTTTTGCAGCATTGAAGGTCCCAAAGAACACAGTGGCCTCCATCAGTCTTTAAATGAAATAAGTTTGGAACCACCAAGACTCTTCCTAGAGCTGGTCGCCCGGCCAAATTGAGCAATCGAGGTATAAGGGCCTTGGTCAGGGATGTGACCAAAAACCTGATGGTCACTCTGACCGAGCTCCAGAGTTCCTCTGTGGAAATTGGAGAACCTTCCAGAAGGACAACCATCTCTGCAGCACTCCACCAATCAGGCCTTTATGGTAGAGTGGCCAGACGGAAGCCACTCCTCAGTAAAAGGCACATGACAGCCCACTTGGAGTTTGCCAAAAGGCACCTAAAGACTCTTAGACCATGAGAAACAATATTCTCTGGTCTGATGAAAACAAGATTGAACTCTTTGGCCTGAATGCCAAGCGTCACGTCTGGAGGAAACCTGGCACCACCCATGCGCTGAAGCATGGTGGTGGCAGCATCATGCTGTGGGGATGTTTTTCAGAGGCAGGGACTGGGCGACTAGGCAGGATCGAGGGAAAGATGAACGGAGCAAAGTACAGAGAGATCCTTGATGAAAACCTGCTCTAGAGCGCTCAGGACCTCAGACTGGGGCAAAGATTAATCTTCCAACAGGAGAATGACCCTAAGCACACAGCCAACACAACTCAGGAGTGGCTTTGGGACAAGTCTGTGAATGTCCTTGAGTGGCCCAGCCAGAGCCCGATCGAACATCTCTGGAGAGACTTGAAAATAGCTGTGCAGTGACGCTCCCCATCCAACCTGGCAGAGCTTGAGAGGATCTGCAGAGAAGAATGGAAGAAACTCCCCAAATACAGGTGTGCCAAGCTTGTAGCTTCACACAATACTTGAGGCTGTAATCGTTGCCAAAGGTGCTTCAACAAAGTTCTGAGTAAAGGGTCTGAATACTTATGTAAATGTCGTTATGAATACTTATGTAAATATGTCTTTTTTTTAAATAAACTAAAAACGTGTTTTTCCTTTGTCAATATGGGGTATTGTGTGTGATTGATGAGGGGGGAAAAAAAACAATTTAATCAATTTTAGAATAAGGCTGTAACGTAACAAAATGTGAAAAAACTCAAGGGGTCTGAATACTTTCCGAATGTACTGTAAGTACACTCTAAAAATAAGTGTTCTTCTAAGATCCTCAAAGTTCTTCGACAAACCTTACGGTTCTTGGCACTGAAAATTGCCCCCAAAAAGGTTATTCCAAGAACCCCATAGGAGGTGGGGTTCATCGAGGAACCTCCTTAGTAGTTGGGGGTTCTTGCAGGAACCTAACTGCCCAACTGAAACATTTGAATATGAAAGGACAGCAGGTACAGGGACCTAACTGAAAAATGTAAAGATCTCTAAATTGATATTGTTTTATGATGATACCATCTATCTTTTCATATTTGTGCAAATCTTTCTAAAACAGAAAATGGACACAATTCAATGGATATCAATCAAGAAAGAGGTAAGAATATGTATGCTATAAGAATATGTTGAAGGCTAGCTGTATTGGGTGCAGATGACTGAACTGCTCACTTTTGTGTCTGCAGGTATACAGACGAGGAGGCATACAAAGGTATGTCAATTGGTATTATGTTAAGCAGATCACATGTACCATCCTCCTCCCTTACCTCTTCAATGAAAATCCCATAGGCCTCTACATTATGGACAAGGTATGTGTATGAAAACCATTATCAAAACAGTTTTTTAAATTCACATTTACCACAAAAACCAAGGTATGAATACTGTCGTGGGCATGTTTTGTTAAACATCTGTATAATTACATTTTTTGGGATTCACAGACTTCACCCTCCCTACACCTCTGTGAATACAACAGGAAACCTGTTTGATCACCATGCACTGCAAAATCATTCTGGCTATGGATACAGAGAACATCAACACATTAACATCACCACGCCAGAGGATATACCCATTGGACTTGGGGCTCTGTTGGGAGTTTACCTCATATTTAGATTTTTTGATCTGCTTTGCCACTAAAATCATAATAAACGCTGACAACTCAAATATTGTGCTATTGTTATGCATATTATTATTATTATTATTTATTAATAATAATAGGGGAGGGGGGGGTTGTTCAAAAATTATTTGAGGATCCATTAAAAGGGGTTCATTGAATAATCATTTTAAAGGGTTTTTCAAATAACCTATTGGGCTTCCCCCACAGTTTCAATTTGAAGAACCCCTAAAGAATACCCCAGGAACCTTTTCTTTTTAGAGTGTAGGACACGTGACATTCCTGCAACTTTGAGAAAAAACACTTTATATCAGAGTTGTGCTGGTCATCAATAGCTGCCACAGTTAGAAACCCTGCCTATTTCTACAATCTCTC